GGAAACCCGTGACAAAATGCTTCCTGTAGTGCTGTGCGAAAGTTACAAACTTCAGGCCCTATCGATCACTGTTAAATATCCCGATTCTCCAACAGCGCAGTTTTCCACATCATCATCACCACTGAACATGCTGAAGGTGAAGTAAAAAAAAAAGAGAGTCAGCAAATTAGATCAAAACGTTTTAATCTTTGGATCCCTTTATTCCTGTGGCCTTCATATACATATACAGACACAAATGACCAGGTTTCTATTTCAGCATATCAAAAAGTTGTAACTAGTCATTCAGAGCTGGCAAAAAGTCCCGACTATGTCATTCGTGACTTCACCATCTTAGAACCAGAGTCGTCATGTCTCCAAGCTATGGTCTATCAAAATGCAAACAACTTCAAACACTAAGAATTCTTTAAATTGCTTATGTCTACAGGTATTACAACAAAGTTAACATTTCAAGAATTGACAAATGGAGACATCCTTTTGTCCCAGGCAGCCCAGGAGAATCATGAACTCATGTGCCTGGTCCACTATTAAAAAAAGTTAATTATTTATCACTAAGTAAAATTAATTGCAAATTTTGCCATATGAAAATTTATTTTCTCCGTATTTGAAAATACCTCCTTAATTTGGTCAAATCCTGTGATATGCCAGAAACTACAAAATCAAATTCTTGCGAGAGAAGTAAAGAGCGTATCCAGTTTCACGTAATGGAAGAACATTTTCAAATCTTCATTATAGTCCAAATATAAAATCAAACATTTAAGCCTGAAAAGCTGCTAAAGAAAAAACCCAACTAATTCAGTGTTCTTCAGCATATCGACTTTTGCAATAACACAGTATGTTCGCCGACTTAAAAATGTTTATTCTTTAAAAAATTAGTTGCTTTTTATACAGCTATACAAAGTTCGTAATGTTTCTTTGGCAATGGGATATAATGGAATTTTACAACTATATAAAAAGTTCCTTTGCCTAAGAAACAGTATTTACTGTGTGTACATATTGACTGACAAAGCAAGGTTTCTACTGTCCAGCACCCTAGTTGATAAAAGTACAACTATCTCAAAAGGGATATTACAGGATTTCCAAAAAACAACCTTCAGTGGATCAAAACACTCACAGTATCGACGGCCTTCTGCATACAATTGTCCTTACAACTCGAAGCAATTATCAAATACAGTTTAGTAATAAGAAAAATCCTTTCAGTGATCAAAAAATACTTAAACTCCATCGAAGTACTGCTTTATAATTAACTATATATAAGAAATTACTTAACCTTCTGTCTCAAATATATTTAATGCTCACTGTTTTCAAAGATGGCCATTTTTCAAAAGTAACTGCATTACACCCCTTTGAAATTAAATAGTTAAATCCCAGTGCTGGTGACAAGTATACAGCAAATTAACTTCATTCTTTGCAGAGACTGAAAGTAATTCTCTGGATCAAGAAGATCTAGACGTTCACCTGGCTTCAGCATTCTTCTAGACTATGCAGCAACTTTGTTGTCTTTCTAGAGGGAACAGCAGAATGTTAAAATTAATTTTGAAACAATAAATAAATAAAAAAGAAAATCACAAACTCATCTGGACAGCAGCACTGGCAGAAGATGTGTCGCAAGAGTTGCTTCCCGTCTCCCACCACCAGAAAGGTGCCCTCCCCGTGGGCTTGGGCTGGCACCCTGTCACCACGGCTGCTCCTCACTTTGACAGGATGCCTGGCACAAACCCCTGGGCTTTACGCCACCTCCTGCTTTTCTGTGAAAACCCTTCATTCAGGAATTCAAATCCACAATCTTCAATCCCTTATTTCAATACATGCTCAGCTTTACATCTAGTTGCCGCAAACAGAGGAATAACTGAGGGACAATCAGAAGTCTCCTGCGCTGAAAGAACCTGTCCCTCTTTTTTTTAAAAAAAATACATCTAAATCTTCAAACAGTAAGCTACCAGAAGTTCCTCTGTACTAGTCAGAATTGTAAAAGCCTACGTTTACTTGCAATAATCTGATGAATTACAGTTGTTACGGATTCTAATATTGCTTCTGCTCCTTAACAAGCCAATGCTCGAGCTGAACATAGAGGCTCAATGCTGGGAAAAATGACTTGCACTGAAATTATTAGAAGATTCTGCTTTTGCAAGCAGATGAGCTCTGCTGACTTACATTATTTGTACAACTAATGAGCCTTCATAAAGAGGAGAATTTACGCTGTTTCCAAGAAAAAGGAAGTGCACCTAAGGCACCACTAGCACACGATACATCACTTCCCTAGCTGGCGCTGACAGCTAACTTCATCCTTCCTCTGAAGGGCTAGTAGAAAAAAAGAGTTAGGATCTTCAACAGGAAACAGAGAAATGCATGTTGTAATAGTGTTGCAAAGACAGAAAACTGCATAACTGTACTGTAAAGGAAGATTCTGCCTTTTAGTCACCAGAGCTCTCGCAGAACAAATGACTATTTCTATGCATACAGGATTCTGAAAGCATCGAGTTACTTCAGTCAGGAGACTTACTCAGTGGCTTGTGCCTAACACTTACAGGAACTTTACATTTCCTTCACATTTAATCAAAAATAAAATAGTATCACTTATTTTTAAAACACTCTGTCTATGGGATGAACACGGGTCTTGTCTTTTGCCCCATCCCCACAGTTCCTTTTCACTGAATGACTGGCTGAGAAGTCAATCCCACCTTAGCTTTCCCAAGTACTAGTGAATATAATTAAGTTATAGCTGTGTTTGGTTTTTTTGTTTTAAAAAAAAAAAGCATAAGAGGATCTTGCAGAACTCGGTATTTTTACCTTCCTTTTTGCAGAGGGTCAACTCTATACTTCAGTAATTTCAACTACTTACTCTATTTTAGGGGTTAATAGAAGTCTATAGGCTTCAAGCCAACTTATTCACAACTCAAAAAAGTTTGTTGCATGCTAGAAGGAAGTTACATTACTCCCTTTCAATCTTTACATCTTACAATATTGCTTAGAAAAATGGTCACAATTCCCTTTTGCAGCAGTTGTGTTAAATCTGCATAATTTTTACTTTTTTTTTTCCCCCCCTTCTTCCCTCTCTCTGTGCCCCGCCCCTCAATTCCAGTTACAGAACACATACTCAGGGCACGTGAAGAAAGGTAGCTTTTAGTTTTGGTTGCTGTTGATAATAAAATGGTGCTATATAACTAAAATTTCAGCATTAACAGGCAGCATTAAGTACTTCAGAGTACCTGCAAAATACTATTCAAGAAATTCTAGTTCAACATCAAATCTAAAACCGGGATGTTTTCTTTACCACTAGTTTCCAAGAACAGTGAATCATGTCATAGTAAGATTAAATGTATTTTACCCTATATTCAAAGTCAGCAAACTCTCTGCCTCCACGACCTCCTCTGAATCCACCACGAAATCCTCGGGGTGCAGTGAAGCCACCTCCTCTTCCACCTCCTCGTCCTCTTCCACCTCGGAAGCCAATTGCTCCTCTGCCTCTGAAGCCCCCGCGGCCACGATTGGGACGCAGCGGTATTCCGAAAGTCTCGGCATTTAATCTCCTTTCCTCAGCCCAGGTGGGTCGCCGTTCTCTGCCACACAAAATGAGCAAGGATTGTTTTTAAAAGTGCTTCAGAAGGAAACTTGCCTGGCTTAGTTAGAATCGCCAGAAAGCTCATGAAAACAACAAAGCATTAATCACACCATAAATCTCTACATCATCCCTTCTGCAAGAATTGAGCTGTCTGCCACAATTCATTCAATGCAAAGAAAAGAGCTATGTGCAGTATCATTAATTAGATATTGATAACGCTGTAACAGCAGGACACAGTCTGTATCCTCTGCACACAGCACCGTATTATATAATAAATAAAAGCTGTCTGCAGTTGAAAACATGAAACAGAAGGTAAGAGCTGGCAGTTAGAGATGTTATTTTATCTGGCTGTCAGTACAACAAAACAATTGCCTCTTCCACCACCCCCATCCCAACTCAAAATAGGTTAGCAATCCATATCATCTTGTCTAATAAGGCAACACTTAAAGATAAGCTTTAATTTTCCTGAAATGCTATCTACTGGCCAAGACAGTTATGTAATCTACTTACAAACCACTACGAAAGCACAGTCATAATCGCTTTAACTAACGTGGTAACTTAGTAGCAAAACAAAACAATAAAACCTACTTGAGTAAACCTGCAGATTCTAGAGTATGTACACCAAGTTCCAGATGCACAGTTCTAAAATAGCACTTAAAAAAAGTCTTCCTATTACTGCTATTGCACTTGCCCAGAGAAATTCTGTGCTTCATATTCCTGTTTCATTTTTGCCCACTGCTTGTGGAAAGGAGCTTTACCCGCTTTCGATTTCGAGTTGATGGGCATGAGTAGTGCCGACACTCCCTTATGACATAACCATGTCTCAAGCAGCCTAACAAGCTTCCCCATGCAGGCCGTACCTATTGTCATCACAGGAGATGTTATCAAAGAAGGATTTGGTTTTGTCATAGTAACAGTTGGGTCCAAGTGGATCTTCCTCATCTGCATTCCCTTCGCTGTTTTGGGTATCAACACCTGAGTCACCTTTGTCTTCTCCATTTACAGGCTTCTCTGGTTTCTCGAGTTTATCTTCTGGAAAATAAAAGTAAATAGAAGCCTTTCAGACCATCACATGAAACAGAACAGCACTGTTCACTTATTCCCAGACAGAAAGACACAAACTGTACTAAAAGCTCAAAACCACAAAAACCCTCCAAAATTTAATGTGGAGGTCAAATAATTTGCCGCATAAATTACTATGTTTTGCTGCTGCCATCTGGAGACCCGATATCCTAACATTTTCTGTGGGTTTAATTAAAAAAACCCCAAACTGGCAGCATGGATTTGATAGCTATCTATTTTGTGATCTCTCATCTACCTCCTTTAACAGACTTAAAAGCCTCCCTCAGTCACTTCTCATAAAAGCCATTGCACGCTTTTGCTCATCCATTTTTCCATTCTTGTCTTCTGGCTTTGCTGTCATCTCCTCCGAGACACAGGGCCAGCATTCAAGATACTATGCTGGGAATTGACTTTCTGATGAATGCTTTTCCTAATAGTGCCTGAAGTTCAACTTAACTGGTACTGAAAAAAAGCTGATGGTTCAAGAGAACTAGCTGTTAGGATCTTGCAAGTTTCATTCCTAAATTCTTAAAAGCTGAAACCTCTCAATGCTGTGCACAAACTTCACATAACCAGCTAAACCTTTCCACACCACCACACACAAAAATTACCACTATCTCTCAAAATATTTCTGTAGCTCTACATGGTTAGCTCTCCCTTTCCTTTTGATTATTCTGAAAAAAAAAAAAAAATAAGTGTCAATAGCAAACTGTCAGCTCATTTAAAAATGATCGAGAAAGAGGCAAACACCAAAGAACAAATCCTATGGGACTCGGCTGTTGTTTTTTATTCTATACTGAAACCTGACCATTTATTCCTATCTTTTGTTTCCCCGCTTTCAGACCATCATTTACTGAAATACAGAACTCGCTATTTTACACTATAACAATTTTGTCCAAAAATAGTAACGACAGCGTAATGAACAGGTGGCTGGTCACAAGAGAATGAGGTAATTAAAACAGAAACCTGCTAGAAAACAAAACAAAAGTGCTGGCAGTATGGATTCAAACAACTCCAGTCTTTCTTTGGAAATGGTAAAAACAAAGAAATACCAGAAACCTTCTTAAATTGAAACTCTTTTGCACCCTCCAGCAAAGTTCTAACTCCAAACGCATGACTTTGGTCATTAATAATTGAAAACATAAAATATGGGTTTTCTTTCACTGCATCTTTTCCAGAACTCAAAAGTAAACTCACACTACTGGAACTTCCACTCAAGAGATCAGCATTTTCAACCAACAGACTTGTTAGAACATGATGTATGTTATTTGCTAGCTAAAATTCCTTCAAAACTCAAATCTATTTAATTAAATAGATGATCCCAGTTTACTCGTTCATTTTTTCTTTTTTTTTTTTTAACAACTGTAACCAAGAGTTAGGATATGCCTTTTAAAGTTGTTCTCAAAGGTAGGACAAAAACAGCAAGAAGACATAGCTTTCCATACTCAAACCTAAAGCAAAAATTGGTTTACCTTTTAGTTTAAGTTTATTATGAAATTCTCTATCAATTTCTTCCTTGTTGAATTGTGCATTTGCGCTTTCAAAGTCAAAGTCCTTCTCAAACTTCATTGGACCATCTCTTCTAATACCAAATCTTCCTCGGCCTCCTCTGTGACCTCCACGGCCTCTCCGTGCTGATGGTCCACCTGGAACTGAAGAGAGGGAAATTCTGTTCTGTGGATTGTTTTCATTCTGAGAGTGGTTGGTGTTTTGAGTGGGTTTTTTTTTGTTTTGTTTTAATTCCTGGGATTGCAGGCTGGGACTTTATGTATCCTTTTCCTGCACTTTAGTTGTTAAGCCTTCTGTCAGAGCATCTGGTAACTGCAGATTCACTTACAATAATTAACAGCAGTGACACAGAAAGCATAACAGGATTAAACTTGGATACTAAAAGACTTTCTAGAAGTCATTAAATGCTTTTGGAAGAAGAGTTACAATGTTAGCGGCTTTTCAGTCAGTATTCTTGTTTATTTCATGCTATGGTGTCTGTAAAAGCATGAATACTGCTTGGTTTTGTATTTTTATTCAAGTTGCGTAACATAGAGCAACCAGAAGAGATTTTTCTCTGTGACTTTCGGTGCTCATATCATTCTGATCCAAAGTTACTGTTACCTACTAGAAACAATTATGTGAAAGCATTCTAAATACATAAATTCTTTAGTACCATAATCTGAACTGCAAGATTTCTGGATGCTAAGAACAAAGTCCTAGCACTTAGCAAGCTATACACAATGCTGTATTTTAGCAGACTTTTAAAAAATTTAGTGAAGTCTGAAAACAATGATAGCTATTTCTCAAAACAAGATTTACCAATTTGTCGTTTGTTTTCATTTCTGAGTTCATTTTCTGATCTTGAAACCTTGTGTGCTTCAGCTAAAGTTGGAAATAAAAAAGTGATTTGTTTATCCAATTAGGTATTTATGATCATACTTTTGAATATAGTTACATAGTTCGGATTTCAAAAAAATCCAAATCTATAAAAGTAAACCACAAGTTTTAACTCATTAAAAAAATAAGAATTATAAATATATGTTTGACTTTTAAAAGAGATACATATAATCCAGGTCTCTGCTGACCAGTCCACTAGTAATTGACAGCAAGAAAATTCCTACATGTTACCCTTAGAAAGAGCATTTCATAGGTGTGCAGCGGAAAATAAGTAGTGTAAAAATTCCCCAAAGCTACCTCGTCTGTGCTCTTGATTCTCCAACGATTTTTGGCTAGCAGACACCAAGGGTCTGGCTGGTACAGGACTCCTCCTCCCAACTGGTGCTGGAGCAGGCAGGTGAGCTGAAGCTGTTTGAACTGCTTGTTCCATGGTGGGGCTTCTTCTCAAATGATCCATCTGAGGGCTTGAACGACCTGGGAAAAAAAAGACAAAACAAAACCAAACGCAAAGAGTTATTTCTCATCTACAGGTTCAAGTTACTGGTCTCAACCAATCTAGACTAATAGGTTTACCTGCCTTACCAAACAAGACAGCTGTGTCCAAAGATGAAACAAATATTCCTGCACCCTCAGATCCACTAATCCAGAATGAAGGATATTTAGCAATTTCCCTTCCCTTAGTCTATCAAGTTGACTTAACTGTCACATCACTATCTCTACAGGTAATCAAGTTTGCTTGATTTATTGCTATATTTAGGTAAATATAACAAAAAATACCATTAGGAATAAAGATTTAAAAACTGCTGGCTGAAGATGACAGAACACTGCAACAGGCTGCCCAGGAAGGTTGTGGAGTCTCCTTCTCTGGAGACATTCAAAACCCGCCTGGATGCCTTCCTGTGTAACATCATCTAGGTGCTCCTGCTCCGGCAGGGAGATTGGACTAGATGATCTTTTGAGGTCCCTTCCAATCCCTAGCATACTGTGATACTGTGACTTCACCAGTCAATCAACACAAAGTATCTTGAGCTTTGCCATACCATCAATAAAACTAGATACTGAATTTCTATTGCAGCTATTTGCTAACACTATTCCATCCAAGTAAATCTACTCCTCAATACAGATGCTTTAAGGATAACAACAGATGTGTTGCTGACAGTCAGCTACACAGTGTGCCAAGATGTAGAAAAACACATTTAAAGAGCATCGGTGCTTTCTGGTTTTAATATCAGTGTTTTCACAACAGAATTCAGCTGTTTGGTTAGCATTTCTGGCAACTACCTAAATCATGGAGGCATGATTGGTTAAAAAAAAAAAATAAAAATCGGAGTTATGAAGAAAGATTTACCTTGAGACATCTGTGTTTTTAGTGATCTTGCATCTGTCGTAAAGGCAGAACCAACTGCAGTGCTTTGGGACATGCTAGCACTGCCTGAAGAGTCTGTTCCAAAAGATGTTAGAGAACCTCCTGCTTTGAAAGAAGTAATACAGTTGTAAAATTCGGTTTAGACTTTTCCTTTATGTATTTTTTTAATTACCACTAAATGATTAGTCAAGCCATACTAAGCAGTTATTCCAGAATACACATAAGTCTGCCCTTTCCTTACATGTTAAGTTTAGTGTAATGTTACGTATATGGGCACACACCAGGCTGGTCTACCTGGGACACAGACATCAGTAGCACAGCCATGGGGCTTTTGTGGAAGAGTTGCCTTTACCACTTCTGAAATATAATGAATATGTGATGAATGTAATAAATATATATGGAACATCATTAATTCATGAACTCAGAAATCTTTCCCCACTCGTCTCTCTGAGATAGGGTGCTTAGTTCTCAATCATAATTGAGTTGATTTGAGCTGCAAAGATCATGAAAAACTCTACTTTTGAGCTAAACAGTAGGACTGATACATATCGAATACTTAGGATAAAATGTTGATGAAATTGTATGTACTGATTACTGTGTCTGCACACACATGCAACTTCATTTATAAGAAAACACTAAGGGATAAAAGTGAACATACCAACTCCTACAGCGCCAAACTGCTGCCCCACCAGCGGGCTCGGACTAAACTGGCTGTATGCAGGCATTCTGCCAAAAGGACCATAGGACCCCACAGATTGGAATGAAGATGTAGTCGAAGATCCTAGTGAAGACTAAAGACAAAGTACATTGGCAGAAATTCACGTTCACACAAAAAGCAGGAAATGGTTGTGCAAGGCAAATAATGTAGAAACTCTAAAACTATTTGTTAAACTTACCCTAACATCATCACTGTGGCTAATACATATAGGAGATCTTAACATGCATAAAGCTGCTCCTTTTAATATCAAGAATTTAACCGCTTTAACACATAAGCAAAGACAGCAGAAAAATAATGAATTGCACACATTATTCTGCATGCTCAAACACAGAACAGTTAGTAGAAAACATTTTCACAAGTATGTACAAAGTTTAGAAAGCACTTTTACCCTTCCAGTACTAGAACCTCGGATACTGGACTCTTCTGTTACACACGTATAAGTGTTCGCTGAGAACTTGGAAAACATCACTTTTTCCCCTGAAGTTTCAAAAGCCACAGCAACAATGAAAGGCCCAAAGATACTGGGGAGGGCGGGTCATTACTATTATTGGAGTTAGCAGTAATGCAATTTCACAGCTCTGAACTACCACTGAGAGAAGTAGTTGCAACAAATTCAGCAAAATCTTAAGAGCATTGCAAGGGTGGGTACTTTGTACGGAAGTATCAGGATTTTCATCTTATGGAATAGTTAACCTCTAGAAATGTAAACATGTATGTAGAATTATAAGTTTCATTTGAACAAAGAACTTTGACCTTGCTCTCAGGGATGATTTTAAGACAGCCTACCAGCACAACCAACAAGCCAACAACTTTCAGAGATAAAACAATAACTCTGTCAGCCTGTTTACAACTAAATAACCAACTAATCAATCCTGAAAGCTTCAAATTGTAAGTTGCGTTCCCTTCAGCAACCAAGTACTCCCAATTTAAATAACTGTTCTTTTTTATGAAGCCTTTTAATAGTGATATTGCTAGAAGTCACATTATAAAATGTTGAACATTAAAACCCAAAACAAAACAACAAAAATCACTAATGATTTGGAGAGGTTTCAGCATCAACTCCATTTGACTTATACCAAGTTTGATCTTTCCAAGAAGTCTTGCACATATGTCCTAAGCTAAGTACCTTCCAAAAAAGACATCAAGGTCCACCAAAAGTCGTTAGCTCTTTTGGAAAAACTGGGAGCTTTGGTATCCAGCGCACTGTGCTATAACTAAGATTTTAACCTCTATTTTCAGTTTCAGATTCAAAAGAGGAAAATCTTTCCAGAGGTCTTTACACTGGGTTGCAAACTTTACAGCAAGAAATATTTTAGTTTTTAAACCTTCAGCTAGAGAGCAATTAGGTTATATCTTCAGCAACAAACATCTAAAAACATGTTTTGACGTACCTGAACAATAGCAGGGTCCTGTGGCAAAGAACACTGAGGCTTTGGTGGCTCACAGACAGTTAGGTCTTTAATGTCACTGCCACGGAATATAATATACTCAAAGACTTCATCACGAGGCGGTATAGGTCTATCAGTTGGTCTATCTTCTGTACCAAAGGAGCGAACTACAAAATTGGGAAGGCAAAAAGAAAAAAAGGAAAAAAAATTCCCACATTAAACGAAATGGTTTCAAATATACTGCAGAGACCAAGAGTTTTAAATAAAAATAATTCTGTCGAAAGAAACATATTAAATAGGCAGCATATTCTTTGCCCTTATCAACTGCTCAATCTAGTAATTTGTGCGTACAAATTTCAGTTAAGAATCAAGCAGAAAGACACCTCTTCCATTCCATACTGAGACATCACTTACGCTATTCCTCACATGTTGAACATTTTGTATGTTTTGTGAGGGGAAGCAGCAAAGAAGTTTTTTGGTAAGGTAATACTTTCAGGACATTACAGCGACAGGAAAACCAACAAAGGCTGGTCAGTCAGTCAGGACTACATTAGCTTACATACGTCAGATTCTGCATTTGCAAATCGGGGAGGGGGGAAGCTAATATTACTAGAAATCAGAATATTAAAAATTACCCAAACCGAAATATTTCTCAAGGTCTGAATCGAGATATTTAAATAAAAATCAGTAATACTGTGGTTTACATATATAATCTTCACTAAGCAAAACGCTACCTTCTTGCTGGTGTAAGGTTCACACGACCTCTGTCAAATTAAGTAAACTCACTGGGCCATAACTATATTCCTCAGTAGGCCTGCATAGTGTGCAACATATCAAAACATTAAGTTTATTTTTATGTACTTAACTGAATTCCAACAGTTTTCAGATTGCATAGTGATGAAGCTTACCATGCTTTTCCCTCTGCACTACCTATAATCGCCACCACTGTATACGGATAGCATAAATTTACTTTCACTACCCTCCCAAAGACTTTTCCTCACCTTAAGACTGCCAATTCTAAGTCAATATAAAGTGAAACAAACAAAAAAATCTGAAGAGATGTCTCCAAGAGCCAGAATTTTGTACGCAAAACCTAAACAATTAATTGAAACCAGAAAAGAAAATAAGTCATGAAAATCACATTCTACCAAACATTGACTTGCAGCAGCTTTAACAATCCCTCTCGATTATCCTTGCTCTAGCCTTTTCAGTTTTAGTTGCTTTGTCAGGTACTACAGGTTATGCTGAGAAAACATCTGAATTTTGCTTTCATTTACCAGAATTAGTTTTCCCTCCATTTTCAGATGCATCAACAATTTGGAGACATCATTAGGCATTTATTTGCAGCCATAAAACCATTAGCCAAGAATTGCAGAGCTTCCTGTAGAGCTGCATGAAGTGATACTGAGTCACTTCTCAGGCTGCACCATCTTCCATCACTGCTGCTTCTTCTGTATTGCATAAACAGAGCTTATCAGTCAAGTATTATGAATGTTTTTGAGAAGCATAATTCAGGGGTAGAGAGATCAACTCCACACTACAATGAAAAATAACATTAAGTGGTTACGATTATCTTGTTCATACTTATATAACCTACTGAGCTGAATTTAATCAACTTCTCTATTTCTGTGCATCTGAAAGTCTGCTCTGAACGGTATTATAAAATAGTAAGCACTGTAAGAAGGCATATACTGTTAACTGAATTTTAATCTTTGTTATAAATCTGTCCTTTCTTCCTCTACTGAAAAAAGATACCTGAAGAATTTGCAGAAATTAAGCTATTGAGTATTGCTTTAAGTTAACAACATTATCAGCTGGTGGTGTACATTACTGTAGTTAATTCTGTTGCTTCTTATTCATAAAGCTTTTCTATTTCACTGTCTTGGCCAAGGATTCATCTGTACTTTCTGGCCATCCTATATTTATTAGATAACTAGTAAATTAACTTGACCTTTCATTCTGTTGTTCGACCCGCCATCTCGATAAGTAAAACCAGAGTTGGTTCTGTATTGGTTCTCTCCATCCCCTACTGAAATGGTTGCTCTAGTAGCCATTTTGTCTACAAAAGTGAACGAAAATGGTCAAAGTGTGATCAGTAAGTTACTAAATTATTCTACTTTCTAGTTAAAGTGAAGGAACTAAGCAGTGGCAACATCACAAAAAAACCCTAGTAAACTAGAAGAACATATTTCACCTTTACATAGAAATGAAAATCTGATGAACTCTGAAAGAAATCTGCTTTGAATGTATTGCTCTTAAATAAGAGCTATGTGGCATGGATAAGAATTTTACTATTAATACCAACATCACATGACACATATAGGAATAGTTTTAACACATGGCAACCACCTTTCTCCATTCTAATCCAATTAAAAAAGTGAACAACCTGACTATTACCTAATGACACCTTAAAGGAGGTGCAACACAAGAAAGCAGTTTAGGGTAAGGGCTACTCAGTGTTTTTGCAGTGTCTATCCCAACTTGGTCCTTCAGATAGGAGTGTAACATAAAGAGCTGAATGTTACTGTTAATACTTTGCAAAGAGATAGCTAGCAATCTTTACAGTTTCTTCTTTCCTAGCTTTTATTAGGATTTAGGAAAATCTGAGGTCATTAAAGTAAAACATCTAACTATTAAAAGTGGCCAGAACAAAAGGATTTTAGAAAGAAATAGCTTTTACCATAGTTTTTCAGAACCAGAAATACTAAGTTGCCAGAGTAGCATAAAGATAAGGTATTGGAGCAGCAGCAGTCTTAGAGTTCTATCCAGCTGTCTCTTGGGGTATTTCCTCAGACTACATCCTTCCTCCAGAACAGGGTGTAGTGGTTCATATATAGCAAAATACTGAAGAGTGAGAGGAAATGAAAATAAGCATGTGAAAAATAATGTAATCTTACAGCACTTACCAGGACTATGGTAAATCCATTTAATCTTACCTTGTCGTTTAAGTTTCTTGGGGTTTTTGATTTTAAAAGACTTAAAGTGGCTTAGGAACTTGCAAACAAAAGGCAACCATCACTTGTTAAGAGCAAAGTTATTTTTCATCAGTGTAAATACACATAACTGAGCAGCTAGCTAGAAAGAAACTAACACTGTTGAGCCTAACAGGCTTACGTGACTTTATGCTGAAGTAGTTCCACCAATTACATATTAAAGTGCTGCAAGCAAAGTTTTTTTACAGACTTTGACCAACCTCAGTATTACTACTACACTATATCCTAACGTATATTACTATATAGCACTACTATAGCATCCAAGGAAAACACTGTAACTTCCCCTATCAGGCAACAGAAATGATTATCTGTTGATTAACATAGAAAAACACCGTGCTCATCAAAAGCCAAGCTATATATTCTACTAGCAAACGAAGACTGTTTCCATATAACGTGAATTACTGTAAATATGTTGTTCAGTCTCAGTAGACAGCACTGACAACAGATTATCAGCCTTACTTCATATGCAGCATACATACACAGAAACAAGTATTTCTCCACTCCTAAGGCACCCATGAGAAGTGTGACAAGTACGAATCCACTGCTACCAGAACATGCAATTTCAGATGCCATTTCTCTTCGAAACATCACAATCCCTTTGCTGTGAACACATTTAGACGCCTGCAAGCCACACTACAGAAAAAGTATGAATGGGAAGGAACCAGCCTGTGGTGGGCTCCTCCTTTCAGAACAATTAATTCAGACTGCATTCCCCCACTCACAGGGGTGGCAAGTTAACAGGGAGGTAGAGGGAAGCAGCCTGGATGGGCTTTGACAAGAGGAATTTTTCTGCTGTGACACACCACGCACAGGGCTGGCTCAGCACACATGACCTAAACCTCAAGACACGGAGGGAGCATGTCACTTAACTGACTAAAAAGTTAACTTCATAAAAATTTAACACAAATTTAACCCTTCCCTTTCCTGCTCCCACCTCTAAACTGTAAGAAATGCTCAAGTCTTCACAAGAATTTCACTTTCTCCTGTCTACACTTTCTGAGTCTTCCACCCAATTAATACTGTATAGAAGAAAGGGAAGGTTTCTCTCTCATGTGTCATTAGACTATTGAAAACACTACGACAGATGGTTGAAAATGCCAGAAATGTCAGAAGTTTAACTACTTCTGAAATTATTGAAAGCTATTTCATAATATCTATTAATTGCAACGGTTCCAAATGCAACTCTTAATGGTCTAACAGCTGATAAGTGAAAACCGATGTATTAATTCAACATGAAACTTGAGAGTAAGAGTGTGTGGGTTTTGGTTCGAAACACTATCTCTGAAAAGCCTGCAACCCAAAGAAAACATATGCACCAATAATATATTAGAACCTCAAATATTTGTATAGCTTGCTTAGTATTCGGAATATCATATAGATGGGAGTTTCCTCTGTTATTTAAATAACGCACTTCATGAAAGGATGCATCACTTTCCCTTAGCAGACTCCAGCTTATGATAAAAATGTTATGCTCAATATTTAAACAGTTGCTATCTTCCTCTAACTGGCGAGACAGAGGCCACAACTTTTGCTAGCGAAAGAATCATAACTTTGTAAGTAAAATGCTCATTAAATTGCTCCTTGGTCACTAAAGACTACAATCAAAACTCTGCTAGCAATCCAAAAAACATACTCCTCTCTAAAACCCCATGAGATTTAAGAAAAATGAAAGCACTCCACATGTACAGCTCCACGAGATTAATCTCAGGCTTCAGTTTAGCCCACAGAAGCCCTAGCACCAGGCAAATGTGTAGTCATTCAAAATCAGATTCTCTCTATTTTCACACTTTACGTCACAATTTCATTTCAAAAACTAATAACAATTTGCTGCCCTGCACTTAACCCAGGTAAGTCACATGAAGTCAGTTACACAGCAGAGCAACTTGATGAAAATATCATCTTTCTGTGTCTCCTTTTGGCAGAAAACTTGACATTTGTGGTAAAGACCCACAGTAAACAGGTCTAGTTTGACTCCTGGACTCGCCACAGGAAGAAGAGATAACTATTGCCCGATCAACACATTTACAGCTACAGACAGATCAGAAGGAAGATCTGCTTCTTTCACAGACAGACCTGGCCATAACTGTCCATATCTGTCGCCCTGCATGCATGCTATCACACCCCATTCGCCTCACCTAAGCCTTCATTTATGCAGAAACTTGAATACACTACAGTGGAGCATTTTATCTGTAAGCACAATGAAGTGTGTTACAGTCTAATATTGTTGTTATCGGCTTCCAGATTAATCTCAAGGCGGCCTAGAAATACTGGTTTATTCTCTTCTGAATCATGACACCATATTATAAAACACGCATTCTTCAGCTAAGTAAGCCAAGTTTTATTAAAGCAAATTTAAGGGTTTAGATTTACATTTCTGATGAGTGCTATGGGAAGAGAGCAGATTATATTTCTAACTGTAATCTGATCTATCTTAAATATATACACTTTGGCAGATACGTTATAATGTGACTTAACCACTCTTGAGAAGTCATGCAAAATTGTCTCAGTCAGCGCTAAATCTTCCTCATAGAGGGCAAGACTATCACAAGCTCCTGAAGAATGGGATTCTTCTGAGTGCTTTTGTACAAATCTCAACAATCACAGCACGCAACTGGAATTTCTAAACATTTATTTTTAAATCACAGTGCTTATCTTTTTATTATATAAACAGATACTAGCTGTCCTTTTTAAACAGATACTGCAATCCCAGTAAGCCAACTTTAGAAATAAGTAAAAATCACATCATGAAAAGTCAATGCCACATAAACCAACTATACAAGGCTGAGATCAAAATTGTTTCAAAGCATACATGTAAGAATTTATAAAATGAAGTAGTCTTTGTATTAAGTAAAAATTGTCAGGGGGAAAGAGAGGAGGGAAGAAGATGGCCTTAAATTGACAAGGCACACAAACAAGAATTACCCCAAAGGCCAATGAGATATAAAAGCAAACTGCTACATGGTATTAGCTCCACAGACCAACTATTATACACAGCAACTACGTAAAATATAACAGATTGTCATTATGCTAGAATGGTAAGCCTATCATATCAAACAGGAACTCAGGTTCTGAATACTCTCAGTCCCAAATATGTAACTTACACAAGGAATCATTTTGCCCCCTACCCACCGGCTAAATAAATGCTCTGCTTTCACATACATACTTAGATTATTTAGCAAGATTTTACAGAGTCAAGAAGTGGAAAGTTTTGCAGCATCTATTACGAAAAATTTTGACTTGATGTTTTACCTGAATATTACCCATGCACTGTCATGGCTAATATACTTGTGCTGAGAGTGCGTTACCATGCACAAAAAACAGCGGTGTCCTTCGGATGCCCAGTTTCAAAGACCCTCTTTTTTTTTTTTTTTACTTCCCAGTCTCTAACTCTCTTCTCAGAGAAGATATCTCCCTAACTTTCCTGTGCGCACACACACGTACATATTCTCTGTATGTATTCAGTTTTGACGTCCACAGTGCCATACAGCTGTCTCCGGAACGAGGAGCTCACAACCTGCCTTCTTTGTTGACAACCCAGCAGCTGCAGGATCCCCTTTAGATCCGAGTTGCCTCCTGCCCCAGGATCCATAAGGGCCCTGCACTCCGCAGGTCTGGAACTCTTACGATGCAAAGAACCCCCTTTCCCAGCCTCCCCCTCTCCCTTTTCACGCACTAGCTTTGGACCACTTCCACCGCTAACGGCTCCACACTTTTTCCTCTCTCCAGGACTCCTCTGAGCAGCCCCTAACTAGGCAGCGTTCCCAGCTGTCCCTCCAAGCTT